GGGGTTTCACCATGTTGACCAGGATGGTCTCGATCTCTTGACCTCGTGATCCACCCACCTCGGCCTCCCACAGTGCTGGGATTACAGGCTTGAGCCACCGCGCCCGGCCTTCTTTTTTGTTTTTTGAAGACCGGCTCACTGTGCTGCGCGGGCAGGTCTCGAGCTGCTGAGCCCCAGCGATCCGCCCGCCTCTCCTCCCGAAGCGCTGGGATTCCACGCGTGGCCGCCGCCCCGCCGCTCCCTTGCCTCCTCTCCCACGCGTCCCCTCCTGTCCCCCGCTTTCCCTTAGACGAACTCATGTGACCCTGGGCCCGCCCAGGTAATCTGGCATAATCTCAGAATCCTTGGTGCTCTCTCTGCGGCCGCGATGCAGCCAGCCACACGCTTGAATTCGGGGAGCGAGCCCCGCAGGTGGTGGGGAGAGCGCGCTCCGAGCAGCGCAGGGCGCGGAGGCAGGAGCCAGCCCGGCTGTGGCCGCCCCACTCCGCCCCCCAGGGGCTGCGCCGCCTCCTGCAGCTGCGGACTCAGCGGGGCCTGGGCGCTGTGCCCACCTACAGTCTGCAGGTGGAGAAGCCACAGGGCATACGAGGGACTGATAGGAAAAGAGGACCGAGGAGTGCGGGGCCAGGTCGTGTGGGGCCTCGTGGGCCACCGACGACTTGGCGTTGGCTCTGAGATGGGAACCCCGGGAACCCGATCTGACACCCCTTCCTAAGGGGCGCTCAGTGGGCTGCGCAGGGCTTGTGAGGAGCTGGTGGCCGAGGCAGGAAGGGGAAGCTGGAGCGTGCTGCAGTTGTCCAGGTGGGAGGGTGGCTCGCCTGTGCTAAATGGCCCCCCAGGAGAGCGCCGCTCCACCACCCCGGCTCCAGGAGCGAGGGAAGGTCTATCTGCCACCACAAGGAGGAATAACACATGGAGGCCCCTACCGACCACAGCTGTTCCCTGCTCCCATACCCCCTGCTGGCCAAGCTTGCATCCCGGGTCTCTGAGAGTAAACTGAGGCTGGGGGTTTGGACAGGCACCCAGGGGGCTACAGCTCTGTGGCAGTGCAGGCACCAAGGCCTGGTCCCCTGGCTGGGAGCCCTGCCCCCACGTGGCCGCTGTGTGCAGGCAGGGGTGAAGTCCCCCGCCCGCCGCCTCTTCCCCTGGGCCCACCCTCACCACCTGGCTCCAGCACAGACTTGACAGCAGCCTCACTCTCCACTGCCCAGACGCAGAAGCAACCGAGATGTGTCCGCAGGTGAAGGGAAACCCTGTGGTGCCTCCAGACAGTGGAATACTATTCAGCCCTAAAAAGAAACGAGGCCGAGCGCGGTGGCTCACGCCTGTAATCCCAGCGCTTTGGGAGGCCAGGCAGACGGATCACTTGAGGCCAAGAGTTTGAGACCAACCTGCCTCTTAGATATAAAAATAGCTCTGTCCAGGCCTGGTGGCTCCCCTCTCTAATCCCAGCACTTTGGGAGGCTGAGGCAGGTTGATCATGAGGTCAGGAGTTGGAGACCAGCCTGGCCAATATGGTGAAACCTCTTTTTTTTTTTTTTGAGGTAAAGTTTCGCTCTTGGTGCCCAGACTGGAGTGCAGTGGCACAATCTCGGCTCACCACATCCTCTGCCTCCCAGGTTCAAGCGATTCTCCTGCCTCAGCCTCCCAAGTGGCTGGGATTACAGGCACGCGCCACCATGCCCAACTAATTTTGTATTTTTAGTAGAGCTGGGGTTTCACCATGTTGGTCAGGTTAGGCCGCATCAGCCTCCCAAAGTGCTGGGAGTACAGGCGTGAGCCACCGTGCCCAGCCTGAAACTCCATATCTACTAAAAATACAAAAATTAGCTAGGCATGGTGGTGTGCACCTGTAGTCCCAGCTACTCGGGAGGCTGAGGCAGAAGAATCACTTGAACCCGGGAGGCGGAGGTTGCAGTGAGCCGAGATCCTGCCATTGCACTCCAGCCTGGTCAACAGAGTGAGACCCAGTCTCAAAAAAATAAAGAGTTCTTCTTTGAAGGGTTGACCTGCTCAGCATCCTGGCTCTTTGCTCTCTGCTTTCAAGGCCAGACCTCCTTCCTCTCCGCACCCCCTGCCCTGGTAAACAGCCTAACCCCCAGCCCTTGTCTATCTGTGGAGGCCGCATTCCACGTCTGCGACCCTTCGCACCGGCTCTTTCCCCCGAACGGCACCATCTGCAGGTATAACTGCATTCCTGTATTTTTCAAGTTAGCCAATGGCAAAACCTGTCTCTACTAAAAATACATAAATTGGCCGGGCTGGCTGGGGTGGCTCACACCTGTAATCCCAGCTACTCAGGCGGCTGAGGCACAAGAATCACGTAAACCTTGGGAGGTGGAGGTTGCAGTGAGCGGAGTTCCCGCCACTTCTCTACAGCCTGGACAACAGAGCGAGACTGTCTCAAAAAAAGGGGGGTGGGGAATGAGCTCCCAGGCCATGGGCATAATGTATGATTCCAACAACAGGATATTCTGAAAGAAGAAAAACTATGAGGACAGGAAGACCAGGGGCCAGCAGTGGAGCTATCGGGGAGAGGGGAACAGGCGGAACCCAGAGAACGTTGGGGGGATATGTGGCGTGACACCTTTGCAAAGCCCAGAGTGACCCCATGATGTGAACTACAGGCTTCAGGGGGGTAATACAGAACCTGTGGTATTATAAGTGTCCATGATTTTTAAACATCTAAAATATAAATATTAAGTTCAACAGCAGTGACAAAGGCACCCCACGAAAGTAATGTGTTACTGACGGGAAGAGGGCAGACGTGTCCGTACTTTCTGCTGTTTTCCTACAGATAGAAAGCTGCTCTAGACAATGTTCACACGAACAAAACTCCGTTTGCAGTGACTGCCTGGGCATTTCTTTACGTACGGACGAACCAGGAGGACCAGTGCGCCCACAGCCTGGCAGCTGCTTCTCCACACCAATGCTGAGTGCAGCTGTTCGCTCCGTTTGGAAGCAGCGCCTCCTGGGACTCAGACATCAAGGTCTCCGCCTCCTCTTCCTCGAGAACACTGGCCTCTCAATGAACTTTCACTTCTCTTACTTCTTTCATTAGGGTTAGTAGATTTTAGCAAGTTATTTTTATCTAATGTAAACAACATGTAGTTTAAAAAATGCAAACCCTACAGGAGTTCAAGACCAGCCTGGCCAACATGGTGAAATCCCGTCTCTACTAAAACTACAAAAAATTATCCAGACGCAGTGGCGCGTGCCTGTAGTCCAAGTTATTCGGGAGGCTGAGGCAGAAGAATTGCTTGAACCCAGGAGGCGGAGGTTGCAGTGAGCCGAGATTGTACCACTTCAACTAAAAAAAACAAAACAGAACGAAAGGCAGGGCACGTGGCTCATACCTGTAATCCCAGCACTTTGGGAGCCCGAAGCAGGCGGATCACAAGGTCAGGAGATCAAGACCATCCTAACATGATGAAACCACGTCTCTCCTAAAAATACAAAAAATTAGCCAGGTGTGGTAGCTCGTGCCTGTAGTCCAAGCTATTCGGGAGGCTGAGGCGGGAGAATCGCTTGAACCCAGGAGGCGGAGGTTGCGGTGGGCCGAGATGGTACCACTGTACTCCAGCCCGACAGAGCGACTGTTTGCGCCACTGCACTCCGACCTCGACCTTGACTTCGGTGACAGACGGAGACTGTCCCAAAACAAAAAAGGACAAAGGATTTAGATGTTCCTCCACAGACACACAAATGGCCACCAAGTACCTGTGATGCTCAACGTCAGGACCCCTGGGGAAATGCAAATCAAAACCACAAGGCGACTGCCCTAGAGGCCCAGCTGCTCCAAGGGAGCAGTGAAACGAACTGGCTGAAGCTTCCACAGGAGTGAAAGCAGGTGCCCAGGCCGGTTAGGCTCATACCAGTAACCCTGGCACTTTGGAAGGCCGAGGGGGTGGATCACGAGGTCAGGAGTTGAAGACCAGCCTGGCCAATATGGTGAAACCCCGTCTCTATTAAAATACAAAAATTAGCTGGGCGTGGTGGTATATACCTATAATCCCAGCTACTAGGAAGGCAGAGGCAGAAGAATCACTTGAACCAGGGAGGCGGAGGTTGCGGTGGGCCGAGATGGTACCACTGCACTCCAGCCCGACAGAGCGACTGTTTCCAAAGAAAAAAGGTGCTCAAAGCTTCCCAAAGCCGGTGCCCTGCCCCCTGGTCTGTTCACCCTGTTCAGGATCCCCGACCTGGCGGGAGAGCCTTCCCGCAGCACAAGGGTCTGCCCTGTGCCCCAGCACATCCAGCTTCTGCCCTGGGGCTGTATCCAGCCACTGTGGGCACTCATGGAGAGCCCTGGGGCTCCTGTGCCTCAGCTGAGGAAGAAAATGACAGAACCGGTGAAACCCCGTCTCTACTAAAAATACAAAACATTAGCTGGGCATGGTGGCGTGTGCCTGTAATCCCAGCTACTCAGGAGGCTGAGGCAGGAGAATTGCCTGAACCCAGGAGGCGGAGGTTGCGGTGAGCCGAGATCGCGCCATT